CCGTTATACAGAATAGAGAGGTTCCACTATACAGAGGTTCTTATGTACACCACTCAATGGCCTTATGGCCGGGACAAGAGCAACTGTATGTTATAGAGAGGTGTCCGCTAATTAGGAGTTCGTTTTAGAGAAGTTTGACTGTATAGTAATATTGTACATGTACATGTACAGTTGTATGCATCTGGGTTTCCAACAAAGCATGCTAAGTGAGCAGAAAACATACAACAAGGCTAATGGCATGCATGTACATGTACATGTACGTAGCAGCTTTAAAAATTCATAAAAAATCTAATTTTTAATTAAATCAGCTCAAACTTGCTACTCAATATAAAAACATGTACATGTATCAGAAAAATTATAAAAATGGAAAATTTTCTCCTTTTCAATTTTGGTGAAATTTGGCCCGAGACCCTGTACTACAGTACAGGGCTTTGGCCCGTTTTTTGAGTAGTTTCAAAAATTCATAAAAAATCCAATTTTTATCGGAATCAGCTCAAACTTGCTACACAACATACGAACATGTATATGTATCAGAAAAAAATATAAAAATGAAGAATTATCTCCTTTTCAATTTTGGTGAAATTTGGTTTGAGACCATGTGCTACAGTACAGGGACTAATGATAAATACAGTGAGAGGTCAGTTTCAATCTCCCTGTTTTAATACTGAAGGGAGGGAGAGAGGGAGAGAGTGAGGAGAGAGATGAAGATGATGAGAGTGAAGTGGATATGTCTCTTTTCTCTCTCTTCCTTAAGCCAGCTCTCTCATCTCTAGTCTTCCTCTTTTCCAAAAAAGACGAGTTTTCTTTGTCAATGCTATTCCTCTTCACTGGAGACCTTAACTGCTTCAGTGACATCTTAGCAACTAAAAGACAAATGGAATATCACATGTACATGTACATGTAATTGGTGATGTTTTATTTTTATTCTGTAAAATGAATATGAATACCTATGTTTAAATGTATACTAAATGTACATAAATAATTTGTGAGTTTCTAAGGCTTGTATCATGAAGAAAGTTGTATGTACATGTATTAACTGTTAATACATGTACAGTGTATGTGTAAATCTTACTTTCAGCTTCAGTTGGTTGTGTGACCCCATACAGAGGACAAGGTGGTCCAAGAGCGGTTGAACTGTTAATGCAATGAGCAGCATATGAAGGAGTGGCTCTCTTCCTCTTACTCTGATACTCATAATCTAATGAACATAATAACACAATTCATTATACAATGTACATGTACATTGTATGTACATGTACATTACATTACATGTAATAATGTTTACATTGTGCATGTACATGTACATGTATATTCACCCTCTTTCCTCCCTCTCTCTCTCTCTCTCTTACTTGTACATAAAGACTTGTAGTTGATTTCACTCTCAGTAATGGCATCTCAGGAACACTTTCAACTCTATTCTCCTCCTCCTCCCCCTCTCCTCTTTCCATTCCATCCAGTACATGTACTTCATCATTGATATTCTCACTCCTGTCCCTCTCCATTGCTT